TTTTTTTTTTCCGTGGGGAGATGGAACCCGGATTGGACCAGGAATTTTTGTGGGATGCTGCACCCAGTTTCTAGCACTGTGTAGTGGCAAGTATGTTCTTTTTGTGACGCCTGACCAGTTTCTGGCAGGTGCAGCTCTGTCTCTTTCTCTCTCTCTCTCTCTACCCTCTCTCTCTCTCTCTCTTTCTCTCTCTGTGTTTTTGGCAAGTATGTTCTTTTTGCGACGCCTGACCAATAGAATGGAGCCGTGGCTTACAGAAGTCTTAGATACTTCAAGGCGTCAACTTTTTGGGGATTCTCTTAACCAAGGTAATGATGTTGGGTACACCGAACAGCAGCTGGTGCTGAAGTGGATTATCACTTACACAACATACAGTATCATCATTGGTCATGAGACTGTGCAGGCTGTTGAGGCGTCAGCCGTCTGACGAGTCGGTGAACTGGAACTGGATGCATGGCCTGATGTATTGAATGAATGGATGCATGCATGTGTACTTTGTACGTCGATGAGAGTATTTCACAGCTCACCTCTGCTCTACCTGGTCAGAAGCTGGACAGAACTCCCAGTCCTGATAGCCGGATTTTGCGCAATTTTCAGTCCAGATGCAAATATAATGACTGGGCGTTCTATTCGGGTGAAGACTGAAGCCTGATCTCCCATCTGAGTCTTTTGGGCGTGCCGATTGATGTGTGTGCAAGTAGCCAGAGAGTGAGCGAAAGAGGGGTCGAGAGAGGACGTACAAATGACACCTTTTATGACACCTTTTCCTTCTCCACCTTACCTCTCTTCCTTGCTCTACTAGCTGCTCCTTCCTCTCCTCTTCATTCGAACCTCGGTCTGTTCTTTTTGGTTGGAGCCTTGTCCTCCTCCTCCTCCCTCTGTGCATCTGCTTTGCAGCTCTCTTTTGTGTGCCATTTGGAAGAATTCAAGCTAACACACTGTCAGTCTTTTTTAGGTATTTTATCCCTTCTGTTTTGTTTTCCCTTCCCTGTACTCCTGTTGATCGTCGACTCTGTATTTTTTGTTACTTTTTTCCTTTCTTTTTGTTTTTTGACTCGGTGCATTTCGACCCTCTTTTTTTTTTGGGTCTCCTTTTCAAGTT